CCTCTCATTACTCCAGCAGAGATCCTGCAAAGCAATAGATTCTATCCTTACTTTGAGGTGCTTATCTGAACACATCTTTCTTTTGGTTTCAATATAGATTTAAAGGTGTTAATTACTAGAGACATTTCCATTTAGGATTGCATTGGGGTCATAGATGGATTGCACATCCCTGCTCAGGTGCCTGCCAAAGATCAATCTAGATTTCGTAATAGAAAGGGTGTTCTAACACAAAATGTGTTGGTAGCCTGCACATTTGATCTCCAGTTTATATTTGTTTATCCTGGCTGGGAAGGCTCAGCTCCAGATTCTCGTGTGCTTCAAGCTGTCCTTGGGGATCCTGATCAGAACTTCCCTCAGGTTCCTGAAGGTTGATAATGATTGCTTATCTTCCTATATTGTGTTTCCTTAGTTTAATGATGATATATTCTATTCTTGAATGCGTACACTAACATTTATATGGCAGGCAAATATTATCTTGTGGATTCGGGTTACAGTAATATGGAGGGATTTATTGCTCCATATGGAGGAGTTCGGTATCACCTGCATGAATATAGGGGTGCAAATCTTTTACCTAGGAATGCAAAGGAATTGTTCAATCACCGTCATGCATCTTTAAGCGATGCCATGCGGAAGTCTTTAAATGTTCTAAAAATAAGATTCCCTATTCTCAAACTTCCTCCTCAGTATGCTTTCCACACGCAGAGGGATCTTGTCATAGCTGCATGCGTACTGCACAATCACATTCGACGAGAAGAGAAAAATGATTGGCTGTTTAATAGCATTGAAGCAGGATCGACTGAGGAGTCTCCTGTTCTTGATGAAGAACCTGATCCACAAATGGGTTTCTCAATTCAAGAACAGATGGCATCTTCACGAAGAGACTCAATTGCAGCAGCAATGTGGAATGATTTCATTAATAAATGGGATGAATGGTGACCATCAACATTCTGTGTCCCGTTAAAATGTAGGAGATGCCTTTGATAAAGCAAATGTTTGGTTTTCGTCACTTTCGTTCTGCCTGGCTTTGAGGGGGGCAAAAGTAGAGACGTCTGTTTTGGTCACTCTCTCTTAATGGAGTAATGCAAGTATAACATCAACTCGTGCTAAACATGCCTTTTTGGTCAGTTTCAAGTCTTTTCGTCAAGATGACAACTGGAGGTTAATGTTCTGTGAATGCATTTTGATTTATACAGAATAGCCTTTGTTGGTTTTTTGTTGTGGTTAATACTGAGGTGCTCTCTCTTTTGTTAAGGAAAAAACTTGGGTGGTTTTATTGATGATTATACACAGCATGTTTGGCCGTGTATAAAAAGCACCTTAAAAAGACGGCGCTTTCTGGCATCAACATCCATGATGCAGTAAAAACAAAATAAGACCAATAATTGGAATGATAAATTCTTGTATATGTCAAGCTAAAAGAGGAGATACTTTCGTTTGTGCACGTGCAAAATATTAGAAAGATATCTAGGTGGAAGAAAATGTTCCCTAAAATGTTTGCCAGCAATCGAAACACCTGTCCCTGAACAGACCACCAGATGTCACCCCATTCACAATTATACACAAACATATGTAATAAGGGATGCAATTCTTTTATCTGCACCAATGATTTCTTCTATTTGTCTACACTAGAAATTAATAAAAACAGCAGAGAAAATTTTAGGTAGTGGTTGGTTTGCGTTTTTATTTTTCATTTTCATTTTCAATTTCAAAACGATTTTTAATTTTCGTTTTTCGCGTTTTGAGTGTTTTCGACATTTATAACTGAAAACGTTGAAAACGATAAAAAGTCATTTTGCGTTTTCAGTTATAAATTTTAACTCGTTTTCGAAAATGCGTTTTCGAAAACAACGAACCAAACGCGTTTTCCACGTTTTCAAAAATGAAAAACGGAAAATGGGCCGAAAACGGCAAACCAACCACGGACTTAACTTTTGACTTCGGCGTTTACAGTATACAATACTTTCACCTTAGAAGCAAAAGAACTAAAGAAGTGACTTCAACTGAAGAAAATAGAGCATAAATTACATAAATGTTGCAAGTATCGGGCGTGCAGGAAAAGTTACCTCCACTTGTTAAAGAGGATGTGGAATCCGAATAGAGTAAATGATTTGTTTTTCTTCACTAACCCATGGACACAAAATTTCAACTCCAACTCTCCTCTTCTCTTTGCTCTAATTTTCATGGTTTCTTCAATCCCAGGACTCTTTTCCTTGAGGTTGAATGCCGAATATCTCACCCACAAAACCTACCAAACAACCCTTTCACCCTCCCCATATGGAAAGTCTACTAGATTCTACCTGCAGTAAAATCTACCAAACAACCCCAAATTAGCTTCGAAAGCTTTCTTGAAGTTGCAGATCGAGAATACGTTAGAACAAATCTACCAGTTCGCTGACCAAGTCATCAGCGACAAGGTCAGCAAACAAGGACAGAAAAATAGGAGAGAGAAGGTCGAGACAGCACCTGGACTGAGAGTCGGCGACAAAGGAGGAGGCGCTGTGGATCTATTGATGGATGGAATCTAATGGATTGAATGTTAAACTTCAAATGGTTAATGTATTGGCTAAATCAACGGGCTTCACTTCTTGCTGGACCGAGGAGAATTAAAATAAAAAAAAAATATGGGCCTATGATTGGTCGCCCAAAGGGTTCAGTGCAGGCATTTGCCTGCACTAGACCTCATTGGGCTCCGCCCTAATTATGGTGACTAACATTTCATTTCCTTAACTGAAAGGTAGTGGCTGACGTTCCGCTAGTCATTGAATACTATGTAAGTGATTGTGTGCTACTTTAAAAAGTTAACAAATCCTTTCTTCCACAATTTACACACCCACACCATACTATTAGAGAAATTTATGTTTATATAATCCTACAACTCATATTTTAATATTATTTTGATGTCAATTGAGGTAAGAATACATAATGCAAAGTGATAATTTCTTATTTCTTGATGTTTATAATAATTTTGGCATGAAATACTATAAGGCATTCAGGTTGATTTTATGTTAAATTCTTCTGAATGGACCCTTAGGTCGAATATGTTAAATCCTACGGGATAGATTGTTTGGTCAAATATATAAATCCTACGGGATATAGGAATTCTTATGAAACTTCATGAGCTATTGGATTTTGCGATAAGTTCGCTCTAAATCTAAGAAATGCGGTATGCCATGTCATTTTATATTTATATCATGTTAATAGGAATATACACGTATTTCTTACTGAGTGTTTCTTTTTTCAAAAATACTTACTCTTAAATTTATATTTGAAAAACATCCTTTGTTAAATCTATGCACGTTGTTTAATAGTTTTTCTTTTATGTTCGAGCAATTTACGTTTTATGTTAAATCTAAATTTATGGGTTGACATCGTAGTATTCAAGATATTATTTAATTCGAAAATCTTCACTTAAATTGCTATATATATATATATAAAAGAATTTCTGCTTAAATTAAATAAAAAGGAATGATTTTAGGTAACACCTCAAGTCTATTTTTATAAAATCAAAATGAAATAGATTTTGAGGCGTTACAGGAATTGCTCAGGAAAATCAATTTATGTTATTACCAAAATCGTGTTGAATTTCACCTAACTCCTTCTCGATATCATTAGAGAATATCTCTGAGGCTTCAAAAGCCTTTTTATTTCTAACATTCAAAGCCTCATGAGCCTCACTAACCCTAAATTGCAAACTACCACTCTTATTAAGAAGATTTGAGCCAGCCTCGAACATATATATATATATATATATATATATATATAAAAGAATTTCTGCTTAAATTAAATAAAAAGGAATGATTTTAGGTAACACCACAAGTCAATTTCGGAACTAATCCCTAGATACAGAACTTTCAATTTCGGAATCTTCAGAAATATTATAGGAGTCACTTTGAGAAGACAAGTTATGAAGGCTATAACAAAGGAAGAATGCAAAAATAATCTAAAGATAAAGTCGCTAAAAAAGGAGTGAACAACAGAAGAAGTAAGAAAGAAATCCACAGAGAGGAATAACGTATTTATACGTTTAAAAAAGAAATATGAACCATCAGATTGCATGCTTAGACAAATCGCAGCAGATCGAATTACACAGGCAATTGTAGCCATTGAATACTAAGGGATTCAGAATTAGAAAAGAACGAATGCGATTAAACATATCTGACACACGAATTAAATACGTACATGCCACCAGCTTTGAAAAACACAAAAGACCTTGCAGTTCATGTAAATAACTGCAACAATTATAGCAAGTCCCCTCAATACGGCCACGTCATCCACCACTAAAGAAGAAAAGGACATTCGAGCAACACTATGTCTACAACGCATCAAAAAAAAAAATAACATGTGCTAGATTTAATATACATATTAAAACTGGGCTTCCGGTACTATGTAATAACTCCAACCCCACCCGCTCTATGAATCTTACTTAATTCCTTTCAAGGAATTAAACATTATGCCATGGGAATGGATCCATAAAATGTTCGCGTAAAATAATGGGAATCGTTCCTACGTCTAGGCTGGCTACACAGGGCCGGCCCTGGAGCAAGCCACCTAGGCAACCACCTAGGGCCTCAAAAAATATGGCTTGGACCCAGGGCTTCAAAATTCATAGTAGTACTATTATACTAACACAACAGTTCATGTCTGAATCCATTATACCAGCAATTCAACAGGACCTCAAAATATTGTTACACGTGTAAAAAAAAATATAGGGCCTCAAAATATTTTTTCCCTTAGGGCCTCCAAATTCTCAAGGCCGGCCTTGTGGCTACATGCTGATAAAGTACGTGAAAAGTGTGACATTTGTAATCGAATCAGTTACTAAATAGCCAAGAAAGAGACACCATCTATCGTTATCTCAAAATGACAAATTACCTCGAAGTTCGAAGAAAAATCTATAAATACCCCTTCATTTGAAGAGAGATGTATATAATTCAAATATGAACTCTGCTTGTTGTACAGAATACTCACAATGTATGGGGGGTGGGGGAATTTTTTTTTTCCCCTTAAATAATCACCCACTCCCTCAAGGATGTGAGGATTATACACATACATCAGGCAAAATTCTTCAAATATCTTCCTCACAAATGACCACTTCATCTCTAACTTTTGCTTGAGTATCAAAACTAGTGAGACTTGGAGGTGAAAGTTTTGGCTAGTTGAAAGGATTTGTTGATCAGATTTTAATCATCAAGAATGGTTAAAATTGATAATTTATTAATAGATAAGTGAAGAAATTAAAAGCATAATAAAAAAAGTTATCATTTTGTTGCCTTACAAAATTTTCTACTAGATGGTACATATTTTTCTACAATCACTTTATGAATTTACTTAACGGTTAAAGTAACCTATGATTTTTTGACAATCGCAAGTTAGGCTCTAGGGTCGATTAAAAATGAGTTTCCATCAGGCTAGCTAAGTTATTTATACTAATAGTCAATTAGAACCGTTTGACACGGCTTCTACTTGTGTTTGTATTTTTTGTAAGAGAGTTCAAGAAGTCATATTGACCAAATTTCGTCCAAAAGATCTTCTAATAAGACAAATCAATCCCCCCTACCAACACTTTCTTGATCTAACCTAGTACTGAACTTGTTTAGTGCGATTTACCTGGCTGGCGTGATTTGCAAGCTATTATGTCAACTTGAGAGTTTATCCAGTACGCATCTGAAGGGGCTGCGGATTCTCCCGTCATTAAAAAGAAACAAAAAGACAAATCAATTAATGAAATATGTTATATAGGTCTAAAGCAATTTCTAAATTTCATAATCAATTTTGATGTTTCAAATTTCTAGTGAAACGGCCAGTTGGAAAACCGTTATAGTGTTATTTCCGAAAAATTCCCAGTATGTTTGAAAAATGGATCCAGACGTTGATTGGGCTTTGTTTTGGGCCGCACTGGCTTCTGACGATATAAAGACTCGCACTGTTCTTCGTGAACGAGTGCAAAATCCTTCTCTTTAACTCTATCGCAAGCTGCTTCCTGCTTCGCTCAGGTAGATAATTGTTCGTTCGTGAATGAAATAGAGTAAATTTTATTTTCTTCTCATTTATAATTTCTGCTTTATTTAGGGTTTCATTTTTTTCCCCCTATATGTTCATTAATCTGTCTATTAGATTTTTTTTCTTTGTTCCTTTTCCCTTTGATTATGTCTTTCTTGAAATTTATGTCTCCTAAGTGTTACTGAACATTTTTTTTTGTTTTTCTTGTGTATATATACTAATATATGAATATATTACCCTGCGCAATTTGTTTGAACTTTGAAAATAGGGCAA